TTGGTGGCAGTATGAAATGTGCAGTTTTGAAGCCCTCCTTTTCCTGCAGAAGAGAACAGAAAAAGCCTGTTGCACCTCAGGGGATTCATTCAGGTTGCATAAAAATCCCAACCTGCTGACTGTTTTTGCCTTTTCTCCCTGGCATTGAGAACATCATCCCACAACATCCCAAAAACAGGAGTTTAATCCTGGGAAACTCACACTGAGATCCCTGCTGCAAGACCCCTTTTCCCTGTGGCAGCAGGGCCCACCCTTGGCAATGCAGGCTCTTTGTTTCTCGGTCTAAAAGAAAAACTGTCGATCCTAACGCTGCAAATCAAGGGCAGGAGATGCCTTTCCCTCCCTCTCATTCCTCTCCTGCTGGGCTGCAGTCCCAAGGTTATCTATGAGCCCTCACTCAGGCTTGCACAACCAGCCAGCTCCTTTTAAGTTGGTTGTTTTCCTCTCTTCCAGAAAGAGGTTGAAGATCAGTGAAACTATGTACCATGGATTTTATTGCATTCCACCCTCTAGATTTATTAGGATTTTTTATTATTTTTTTTAAAATGTTCTATTGCTCTCTGGCCCTAATTCAAATCTTCAACATCTGCTGCTCTTTGACTCTTGCAACATGGCTTGGCTTTCAGCATTAGCACACTCAGCATCCCCAGCCCCAGTGCTGCATCCTCCCCACACCCCTTCTCTGCCACCTCACCCTAGCACAGACACAGGGCTGGAAGGGGCTCCCCTTGCCCTCCTCACCTTGCTGGATCTGCAGTTCTACGAAGCCATGAGCAACCTGTGTGGTGTGAGGCTTGCCATGCTCCCTCCTGACCTCCACGGCGTAACAGCAGTAATTCCCACTGTCCTGCAGTGTCAGGTTCATCACCACGATGTGAAAGGCACCGTGGTGGTCAGGGACAAACTCCACCCCATGATGGCTGGTTTTCCCCCCAGGGGGGGATTTTTGGCTGCCATTGCCTGGCGACTCATGGTGCCTGCCCAGATCGTGATGCAGCTCCTTCTCGGTGACGTTGCGGATGTGCTTCTTGTCAGAGCAGCTCTGGTCACCGTTGCTGCTGAAGTACCAGGTTTTGTAGAGCAGGTCATGGTGGTTGGCGAGGGGACCGCTGATGCGGCAGGTCAGGGTGACGTTCTGGCCCTCGGGGCAGATGCAGAGTGGGTACGGGGTGGTGATCAGGAAAGCTGCTGACCTGCCTGCCGGGGAATGGGCACAGCAACAAGTCAGACCCTGGGATTACCCTGTGTTTATAGTAAAGTGGAGATCCCTCCCCAAACAAGCACAGCAAACCCACCAGTGATGCTGGCAGAGGGGTGGTCTAGCACTGGCACAGGTTGCCCAGACAGGCTGTGGCTGTCCTATCCCTGGAAGTGTTTAAGGCCAGACTGGGTGGAACTCAGCAACCTGGTCTAGTGGATGGTGTCC